ATATGATAGCTATTTCATAAGTTATTAATAGATTGCCTAATAGATATCACTCTAAATTTACAGCCGGAAATACTAAGTGAAAGAGTCATCTCCAGTGGGAGACAATTAAAGAATACATCACTTACCAATATTGATCTTGGATTCAAACCACCTGGATTGATATGGAACGAAAAAACTACTATTACTGGAAACCAACTTCAACAACAAAAAGATTTGCAAATGAAGAAGAAAAAAACTTGTTAGAGAAGATTTCACTTTATGCAGTTTATTCAAGTGTTTTGTCTAATTTGATTTTCATGAACCTACAACTAGCTGCAGTTTTAGTTATTTTATATTAAAGTAATGTTTCAGATGTATGTTTGACATTTTATTTTGTGACTATTGCCTTGGTTTGAGCAATAAAATTTGCAATTTATTCTACAGATTGTATTTGCCTTGGTAGAGTTTATTGTACAGTTTGTATTTGTATCTTGTAGTTGCGGTCGGGGAGAACATTAGTTATGTCAAAATTTTGATGAAATATTAGTCCAAAAGTGATTCAACTTGTATTCATCTAAGTTTCTTACATTATAACATTCAAAATAGCTACTGGTTTACATAACTGCCAATACACAAAAGAGCTCCTTCAACCAACTAAATTTCAACTAACATAGCAAATATTACATAAGAAACTCTCAGACAATCCAAGCAAGTATCACAATGACCAACAACATTCTGTACTTTCTCCTCATCTTCTCCTTTTCTTCGTCGTATTTTTTGATCCTCTTCAAAAATCCCCAAATTACAATCTTAGCTTGTTCAGAAAATTCATCTTCAAGCCACTTAAATACTTACACCCTTCCTATAAAAAACATTAATAAAAGTTCATAAAAATGGAGTCTTGGCCAAACAATTTTGAAGAAACAAAATAGGCACAAAACATAACTTTAAAAATTACTTACTCGACCATATTGGCATCCAAGATACCTGCGACCGGGGTTATTTTGTGACCACGAAATTATCAATTCTACCCTTTACCACAATAACAATACAAGGTGCCTTCCATTTTTGATAATGCTTCGAAATAGAGAAAGAGGGAAGATAGAAGAAGGAAAAGGTCGAGGAAGAACGGGGATTTAGGTTTAGGAGTTTGAGAATTGGGATAAATATAAAAGGGATTCATTAAGGGTATAATAGTAATTTTGAAGTTTTTTAGCCGCTACAACCAAGAAAAACGTAAACTAATGTGCTACCCAACGTTTGTATCTCACTCTAGTTGACATGTCCGACACGTGTATTTACTTGACACAATAAAACCAAACATAAAGTATCTATATGGTCACCTGGTAAGTTGGAGTGTGAGATAGATATCTTCGGCCAACTTTAAGTGTGTCTTTATGTATTTTGCCTTTAATAAATTTTTCAACATAAATACACTATTTGAGCAAAAATTTTATGCCAACTTTAGTCGATAAGTGCTGAAATTTTGTAGTAACTATAGTCGCCATAAAATCCGAATAGATCATCGTTAAAGTAATTATTCATTGGTGATTTACCTAAAATCTATTTTTTTGTTCCGTAATTGTTTACGTTTTATAACAACTTTAGTCGCCACTCAATGTTGAATATGTCACCATTAAAAATCAAATAGGTCGCTAGTAAAATCATTATTCATTTGGCGGCCTACATAAAATATATTTTCATGTGATGGTCATGATACATAGAAACATCATAAATATTATTCGATGGTACGCTTCGAGTTTGTGACGTGTGCCTATTACATATCCGTACCCGATGTTTAGACCTAATAAAATAGCATCTGCAATAAGGTGTACTCCATGATGAAGATAAAAGTTGACTACAATGACACTACACAAGAAGGGCAGGAAGATAATATAGTTAACAATTGGTCGTCCACCAAAACATATTGTTACACGGTTTGATTTTATGTTTGACACTTTGAAGAAGGTAAGAAAATGAGAGAAAATGCACTGATATTGTTAGCTTATGTTAGGTTTTCTCATAAAGAAACAAGAAAATATTTATCGACTTTTTTTTTTGGAATCCCAAGAAAACCCGTAGCTGCTACTGTTCCTGCCCTTCGGGTGATCACTCTTTGCGTGATGGATAAATCTTCCACTGTGTAATAACCTGCAAACAGAGGCAGAGCCAAGATTTGAAATCACTGGGTTCAGGATTCTAACATTTTTATGTTACTAGGTTCTAAAATAAGAATTGTACCTATTCAATGAATTTTTTTAAGACAAATATATTATTTGGACTAAAGCTGCTGGGTTCGACTGAACTCGTTATCGAAGCTCTAGCTCTGCCCCTGCCTGCAAACCACACGAGGGATGTAAATCGCACTAGGCAACAAGCATTGAAGGGGGATCGATCCCAAATCATCTGTATGGATGACCGCCCTCCAAACCAACTGGGCCATCCCGAGTTAGTGGGCTAAAATATTAGGTATCTTCATTGTAATTGCAGTGCGACGACATATAGCCTATATGCTTATTGGTATTATTATCTCTTGCTTTAACTGAAGGCTGAAGTTTAATCATCAATCTCGAAACCCACACAAGTTTAATCACAGTATTCAAATGCGACATATCATCGCATTGATCAATTGCGACTTCTGATTGCAACTTGTAAATCGCGTTTAACCTGCAATTGCGACTTGTAAATCGCGTTCGTCAATTGCGACTTATAATCGCATTTACGCGTTGCGGATTTTAAATCGCACTCCAAGTGCAACTAATAATCGTGTTCGCTCTCATTTACGTTCTATCAAATGCGACTTGTAAATCGAGTTCATCAAATGGAAAGAGAGAGAATTAGCTAAAAAGCGAATTGTTTGTTTTCGCGTGTATTATGAAGGGGAAAACCAATGAATTCTCCTATTTATGCTATGATATCACGAGAAAAAGTTGGTGAGAATTTGAGATCCAGGGACTTCCCAAACAGGGTCAAATAGAAGGTATTTACACTTATGAAGAAAGCCTCTTTCCATTGGAAAGCCTTTCCAATTATCATCTCCAAGTTTAAACTGCAAGGTATTTGGCGGAGTTTTTCTTATATTTAATAATTTGGTATCTGGAATCCACTGGCTCGGCTAATCAAGATCGGGGTTCTGTTTACCCTTAAAATTGGATAACAATTAAATTTATAAGGAGGTTATAAGGATACGCAATTTCACTTAATACCTATAGATAAATATGAAGATTAATAACAAAAATGAACTATATAAAATAAAGCGAACCAATATTTATTGAAACGGAATTCAACCCTCTAGGGTGTCCTCGAACTGACTGATACCAAAATAGTTGAAAATAAAGCAAAATTGATGAACAATCGTATCAA